ACAAATTGTATGTTTACTTTTACAGACAGCAAACAAACTAGATTATGATTTATTCATTACAGTAGGGCATATGCAACAGATTTGCTTACAGGTGTTGCAACTGCTGCCTCAGAACTCTCATACTCATCATAGATGTCTGAAGCTAGTATTCTTTTGGTCTACTCAATGGATGCATATATGTAAATATTAAGGACTTCTTTCTTATTAATGTGTTTTCATTTTATAGATTTTGGAAACTAATTAGTGTGTAGTCTTGCATTGTTTTTTAGAATTCCTCAAAATTTTGGACATAAGTCTATATGAATACTACAAGAGAATGAAAGAATAAGCAACTGTTTACTTTTTAATATATAAAACCACTGTGAAGACTTATCAAAATAATTATTATAAAAATTATTAAACGAACATTCTCATTGCTTCTTTAACTCAATTCTTAAAAAGAAATATTAGTTTTGGATTTAATATACTGATGGACTTCCAAATTATGAAGTCTTATGTAACAAATTTCTCTATTCAATAAAGTTTTTCTACAGAAATGTTGAAAATAGTTTTTTTTTTTTTTTATATTCAGTACTAGTGCATTTTCTTTTTAACAAATTTTCTATATAAAAATTTTCTGCATTTCCCAAAGGCAGTTTATTATACAGAAATTTAACTGTAATAATATCTGCAGATATTTGTTATTTTACAAAGAACTAAAAGATGCACTTTTTAGAATTGATATGTTGTAAAAAAAAGAAAAGAAATATTCAGAATTGTATTGATTTTCTCACATGATGAAAACTTTTCAGAAATATAAGCTGATGGGGAATTTATCTCTTATCTAAGAAAATTTACAGATTTCTAAAACTATATAAATTGATTCTTCAAAAAAAAGTCCCAAAATCTCTAACCAATCTCATTGCATTTTGAATATTCTTTCACTACTGACTTGTTTGTATTTGTCCACTTTGCATCAGTAGAATTGGTTAAGATATTCTTGTCCAAATTGTAGATTTGGATTGTATCCAGCTACAGGCATAAATATTTGTCAGATTTCAGTATGATTTACTACTAAAAAGGAATGCCTGCAACTATAAAAGTATATTGAATTTATATATTTTAAGTATATATATATATATAGAATTTATTTATTTTTTAAGTTGCAACATTGAGGCATTCAAAAATTTACCTTATTTTACGCAGGATGCATGGCATATAAGAAGACACAGAATATACAAGAAAAAGTATAAATATAAATTAAATTATTAAAAATTAATGGGATTGGTATAAATATTAATACACTAAAATTAAATTTTAGTTAAAAACAAGTAAAATTATACTCTTTCTATTTTGAGGATTCTATGAGCCAAAAAATGACAAATAAATGGCAACGAACAATCATTATAATGATCGTTCCTTGCCATTCGAAGTCGGAAATAGAAAGAGTATAATTTTACTTGTTTTTAACTAAAATTTAATTTCAGTGTGTTAATACAAGAAAAAGGTTTTTAGTGTATTTCAAACAGTGCCGTAACTAGGCAGGTGCAACAGGTGCACCCGCACAGGGCCCACTTGGAAAGGGGGACCAAAATGCATATATTTGTTTTATTATTTTCCCAAACCTAATTAATTAAGGGGTCTAAATGCAAATTCTTGCACAGGGCACAGGAATGGCTAGTTACAGCACTGATTTCAAACATCCCATGCCTTGGCACTTAGCCCCAAATTTTATTTTATTGTATTCTGGTTAAAAAAAAAAAAATTAAAATGTTATTTTTTCATCAAAACAATGCTATTCTTCATGCAGACATCCACACAAAGAATAACATTGTTTCAGTGGTCAAAACAGACACTCAGGGCCTCTATGAATCGAAAACTTAACAAAAATAACTGCAACTGAGTTGGGAATTATCATACAAAAGATGGGGGAGAAAAGTCATTTATGGTTAAAATTTTCTGTTAAAATATTATACACAAATACATGCAAAAGCTGCTTAGTTATATCAAAATAATAATAAAATAATGGCCTTAAAGATATCTTAAATAATGTAGCTATGTAGCCTACTACAAAATAATAATAATGTGTAATTAAACAAAACTATCTTTAAGTATATCAAACATTGCAAAGCCTAATATGTATATAGAAACATAACCAAATGATCGCCTTAAATAATTAGGCTATAACTCCACTAATTAAATGATTAATTAGTATTAAGTAATTTGCAAATATATTAACATCCCAATAACCTGATGTAATTTGCTACTAGAGGTAAAATGTTATGCACCATCTCTTAACTAAATTAATAATTATAATTTTAATAATTCATTAAATAATAAATAATTGGGTTATAACTCCACTAATTAAGGCAATCATTTGGTTATGTTTCAATAATATCTTTATTTGAAAGTTAGGTTAGGTAGATGTAACGTCTACCTAACCTAACTATGTATATGCAGTGGATAGCTATGAGTTAAGTTTGGTAGAGCCATTTGTGTAACTAGGGAAGGACTCTTCCTCATCTTTGTAAATAAATAAATATCAAAGTTAAATAAGTATATGAAAACATTTGAATATGATAAATGTAAATATACATATGTTAGTACAGTATGTACATAGAGTATAACTTTTGACAATTTATTCTTTATTTTGTAGCACAATGGCTATGTTTATAGGGATATTGGAGTAATTGGAGGTCTGTAGAAAGGTAGCATTCAATGGATTCTAAATTGTCCACTAAATTTAATGCTTTCATTTATGGCAGAAAAATTTACTATACCAAGCCAAGCAAAGTAGAGAGGTATTTTTCTGGTAGTTCATAAATGTTCTATATTTTGCAAGTGAGTAGTGTTGCCACATTCTCAAAATCGCTGACCCAGATGGTAGGTGAGGTTTGTTCAAACAGAAGTTCCTGACACATGCGCAATGTCATTTTGCATTGCGAAGAATAACGTGCAGTGCATGCTGGTTGACAGGTCGCGCATGATATTCCTGGACAAAATTAGTAATTCACCTCGACAGTGAATTCCAGGACTGTCCATTTATCATATTCAAATGTTTTCATATACTTATTTGACTTTTGATATTTATTTATTTACAAAGATAAGGAAGAGTCCTTCCCTAGTTACACAAATGGCTCTACCAAACTTAACTCACAGCTATCCACTGCATACACATAGTTACCGGATGGGTGGTAACACTACAAGTGAGCCTTATAACTTAAATTTTATAGTAAAACTTTATTTTATTAACTTATATTAACTTAAATTTTATGTATGAAATAAAATTGAAGTCAACTTTAATTCAAGTCAACATCAAACTTCAGAAACTACAAACTAACTGAAAATGTTTAACAAAATATAGTTGAACCTGTCTATCTTAAACATGTTTGTCTCAAAATTTATTTTTCCCTCTACATTTTCAGCCTAAACTCAATATATTTTCCTTATTTATCTCAATTAATTTTCTCCCAAAACCTCTATATCTCAAATTATAGGCTGTAGTGTCAATTACAAATTCAAGGCTCAGCAACTACACTTTTATGGCATAAATTACAGTTGAGAAACATCTCTTGCAATACAGTATACATACACAGTTGCAATTAATACTGCTTTTCTCTGACTGAGTACAAATGGTTTGTATCTTACTGCTTGAAGAAAGTCCAACATCAGGAACTATTGACAAACTATATCTGTTAAGGTATGTCAAAAATGTTTTATTTATACCTAATATACTTGCTGTTGTATTAGTAAAATACTGTGCAGTACCTCTAATCAAACCTGTTACTGTTTAGGATCCTCTATATCTCAAAACCTGTCTATCTCAAAGTGTTTTCCTCATTCCCGTCAGATTCGCGATATACAGGTTCAACTGTATTTATATTTAAAAAGAGCTTTTACAATTTATATTATGTTATAATTTAGGCTGTATTGTAATATCGGTTCTAGTTACATTTCTCATAGGGCTAGCAAATAAATTTAAAATGCTGTAGTCATATTTTTTAATACAAATGTTTTTAGAACATAAATACTTTAAAATCAGAAAAAATTTGGATCAGTATTATATNACTATATAAAAATTATTCAAAATGAGAACCTTCTTGTTCAGTATACAAATAACAAAAAACTTTACCAAATTAAATTACAACTTTTCTAAAATATCTTATGATAGCTTTTTAATGATTCACACAGTTAACTGACTTTTGGACCTCTCTGTATATTCAATTGATGAAAATATACTATAAACTGTACTTTTCTTTACCATAATTACTATCAACTTTAATAATATAATAAATGCTTAAGTTTTAATGATTAAATACAATGAAATCTCTTAAACTGTCTTCTGCATTACCTGTATCTCTATTCTGTTATTACTTCTACCACTACCGAGAAAACATTTAATTTTAAAATTACTTAATAATTGTAAAGTAAAATGTTTTATTGGTAGAGGAGCTTACTTAAAGCATTCTGATAATCAGGTCTAACTTTAAATCCAAATGTACCTCAGATTTTGAGTCGTTCCCTGCACTAAAGCTATGATCTCTGCAAAGGGAGTTAATTTTATTGTAAAGAGAAAATTATTGTGCTATTCTGTAAGAATTATAGATTTTAGAGTTAGTAACATTGTGTACAATGTAGATTTTTTAGCAGTTCAGTTTTTATTTAATTATTATTTGTTTTAAATATTGTAATCCTAATTAGATTGTGCATTGGCTAATACCTGCTGATAATTATGTATAATTATCAGCAGGTGTTAGCCAATTTGTATATTGCAATGTTGTATTTTTTATTTATCATTCTCTTCCTATTGAAGAATCTTTTTTTTTTTTATCATGCTTATTTAAATTTTAAAGTCTATAAAGAGGTAGAACTCGTAGGACTTGGAGTGAATAATTTGTATTTAAGCAATTTTTTTTTATAAAGTAAATTCCAAAATGATAAGAAAACTTTGTGATAAATTATTTTATATTCAATAGGATTTGTTCAGTTTTGTTAAAAAATAAAAAATAAAAATTTAAATGTTATTTACCAGCAATTTCTCTCTTGTCAATTGCTACTAAAGCTTCAAATAATTCTTTTAGGGTATTCCTAGAAGAAGGCACTCCATGCAACCAGATTAATAGCATGCGATAACCATGTTCTTTATAACTGTTCTTTCCTGTTGCAGAAACAAATTGGTTACTGTCAGCAGAACATAAAATCTGTAACAAGAATAAAATATCAAAGAAAGACATAAAATTGATACAATTATTCTTAAATCTTTAAACTTAAAATTTGGTTTGAGTTTTTCTTTTAATTTCAAATTAAACTGAAATAAATATGCAGTTGTTAACATTTAATTGTAAAGAATATAATAATATCTTTTAAATTATTAACTAGTAAAAGCAACTCTGCCTGTATACTGATGTTCAATTGCTTTTATATGTTCTTCAGTAAAACCCCAGTATCTTGCTAAGCGACGCCATTCACCAGCTTCCAGATAATTATTGGCTAAAGACCATAATAGTTGGCGCATTCTTTTTTGTTGTGCTTCTGCTTGTTCTTCTGCTTGTTGTATCACAGTTATATCTTGACTTTCAAGAAAGTCTGAGGAAGGACTAAACTAAAATTTGTAAAGTCAATATTACTTTTGAAAAGATTTTAAGTATCATACAAAGATAAAATTTTACTTTCAAATTTTGTTCTCTTTCTACTCGTATCAGCATATCGACTATGGCCGTGTAACTTCCTCTAGCAGCAATGTATAATGGTTTTCTACCACCCTAAAATAAATAAAATCACATATACATTGATATAATAATTTTATAAAATAAAATATGTTAATTACTTAAATAATTTTACTTTTTCTGGAATGGATAAATTAGCACCACATGATAATAATACTTCTGTAACTTCTGCATATCCTAATTCGGCAGCTAAATGTAATGCTGTTTGTAACCTCTAAAAAGCAAATACCAAAGTTAATTTAGATTTAAATTTCAGTAAGTTGATTACAATATAAGCATGCCTATGCAATCAATTTATCTATGTTGTTCAATCAATGAATAATCAAAACATTTAAGTATAAAGTTCTTATAAGGTTTATTACTTAAACAGTTTCAAATGTTTTAATATTTACCATTAAAAATTAAATATTCATTCTTTAAGAACAGCATTAAAGATTCAATAACTAGAGATGAATGAATATCTCTACAATAGATTAATCAATAACAGTTCTTGTTTTCACCTACTAAAGCTTTTTATTTAAGAAAAGAAGTATTCAAATGTTTTCTGGATCTAGACTGCCTGTTTTCTCGTTGCCAATTAATCCAGAGGTGCCATTTTATATATGGCGCAATGTTGGAAGTATTTGAAGTTATTTTTTTTTTAATGTTATATTCAAAATCAAGTATTTGTGGGTAGTATTTGCCCATATCTATTATATTCCCATAGGATAGGTTTCAGCTCAACAGTATTTGAGATCTACAGAAAATTTTCACTTCAAGAAAACCAGTTTGGATTAATTTAATATAAGGTGACCGACCAACTTTTTTACAATGAAAAGGAGGGCACTAATAAATTGAAGGAAAAAATATCATAAATAAATAAACATTTTATTCGTTACAACAATAATACACTATAATAATCTCTATTCTTATCAAAAAGAAGTAAACAAAGACATTTGTGCACTCTCTCTTTCTCTCTCTCTCTAGGTCTCCTGTGCAAAGAGCATGCGTCTCATAATTGCATCTCGTTGCATTGTACAGAGCCTTGATGAATCGTCATGTTAAATATAAACATGTCATATCACATCACACGCAATGGATCAGTTCGGCATTGATTGAATAAGGAGATTTACAGATTAGTCTTCAAATATCAAAACGGAGGACATGTAGGAGGACACTTTTTGAAGGAGGACAGAACTTACAAAAGGACGACGATTGGTCATCTTATTTAATATATTTTATATTTTTTTGTTTTTAGTATCAGTCAAGTTCTCACTCCAACAATCTTAATATTATAGTTTCCTTTCTTAGAGACTGCAACTGCAATGTTTCCTTAAACATTATTACTGGTACTTTTGTACATAAGTATAAAAGCACAAAAGTTTAAGAAAGGTTAAGGTGTTTTGTTACAATGGTTTTGGACCTCTGAAAATGCACTGGAAGGTTTGAAAATAGTAAGGTTTAAAAAAATATTGCATTTGTGATCTTCAAGAAGACAGAAAAGTGTATACTTTTTTTAATTCAAATTATTTTGTAGGATCAAAAGTTTAGAAAATTGAGGATTCAGATTTTTCCATTTCTAGAATTCATTTAATTATGTTTGAATTTTAACACTGTTCTTTGTATGATATTAAATATATATTTAATTTATTTGGCATCTAATTATAAGCAATAGAGCAACCAAAAATATTTAGGTAATTAACTTTTAATGGTAATGGAATTGATAAACTACAAAATCGTATCTATGCCTTAGCTAACCAAATTCTGTCATTTATACTTATTGACTCCACTTATTTAGCATACTTTATTGTATAGCAATTTTTATGAAAGGGTTATCAATTCAAAACTAGATAAAATGTTCTTCTTGCTTTAAATCAATAGCTTCTTCACTTATTTAGTAAATTTTATTGTATGGCTATTTTCATTGAGTATGTGAGTATGAAGTCATAATTTAATGTTTCCTACATTTTATGGTAAGAGAATCATATTTTCTATATTTCATTTTTTTTATCTTTTATGATAAATGCAATTTTAAATACTAAAACAATACAGTTTACTAGTTCAATTCTGTGGCACAATTCTAGGACAAATGTAGCAAATTGGGACTTTGACAGAGCAGTAGAGCATATCGATAGGAACAAAAAAGTCAAAGGAACCATGCCCGTACGGGCGACCCTTCGCGAGATATAGGCTCCCAAAAATGCCGCTAATTAGGCAACGCTTTCTATGCCGCCGCCGCTCTATACTGAGCGCGCTTCTATTTCCCTATCTCTAACACATTGTAACTGACGACGGAAAAAGCCAACAAAACAGATTATACACTCACCTTCGACAGAGTCTCCTTTTCTCGCTACCCTACGACGACTGGCCCGTTTCTGATCTTGTTTAGGAGAAGCCGGGGTAAGACCGCCGGTCACCGCTGCCGCTTCCTCCTCCTCGGCTATGTCCAGGAGGTCGACGACGACGAAGATGGGATCGCCCGATGTTATTCGAACAATCGCATATAATCCAGGGTTCGGGTACAAGTATCCTTCGGTAATTAATTGG